AAAAAAAAAAAAAAAAAAAAAAAATTCGCACATTAAGGGGTGGGGGGGGGGGAGGCCCTACCCTTCCCGGAAAATTGAGCTAGGACGAAGATGTTGCATAGATGTCGCATAGCGTCTCCCCGCCCCTCTTTCCCCTCAAGGCTCGCTACGACGGAAAGCATTTCTTAAAAATCCATCTACCTCCATTGGGTCTCTTACCTGATCGAGAGGAACGAACTTACCCCCCTTTTTCTCACACCTCCCTTCACTTTCTTTTACATTTTGGCGTTTTGCATTCATCGCCTCGAGACATCGGCTGAATTACAGCTAAAACGGCTCTTTTCCGTAAGTCAAAAGCAGTAGGCCACACTCTCATAGTATCAATTGGCGGCTTGGCTTGAGGTGGCTCTGGGTATTTCCAGCATAGCCGCATACACAAGTACACTTCGAATATTTGTGCACAATTTCTCAAATGTCCATATTTTGTTAAATTCAAATGTGACAACGTGATCAAGGAAACAAGCGAGGAAAGGGCTGCAAACGAGGTAGACCTTTCTACTCGGCCGCCTTTCTCACCTCAAGTGTCCCCAAGCGCGAGGATTTCATGCGGGGAGGATGGAGGAGTTATTAAAATAAATAAATAACAATACTTTTCATGCATTGGGACGGTGACGGATTCCGCCCAGTCCGGCCTTCTCGCGTGTCCAGAGTAGGAAGACCTAGGAATGTTCGTCTCATTCAGAGCTTGGATCTCTTTCGGAATAATTCGCAGCGTTTCAAAAGTTTTTTCTCTTTTCTTTCGTTCTTCCTATCTTATTATTATTTATTTCCACCTCTTGGGGCAGGGGACGCAGGGGTACTCGCGCCGGCCCTGAAAGCAATTTTCAATCGCTTTCCCTTTCTTCAACCCCCCCTCCCTCTCCCTCTCTCTCTAAGGGGACTCACTAACGTTAGGCATAGGCCTAACCAACAGATTGCCTTCAAGTCACGCCAAGGCCTACCTTTTTCTTTTCAAATGAAACTCAATTCTCGACTTACGGCGCAAATTAGGCCTATGAGGGTGTGTAGGATTGGCTCGGGGCCCCTACAGAATGGGGTTTATTAACGCTGGGCCTGTACGGCTAGATGGTGATAGAATCCGGAGTGCGGGGATCTCCAGAGTGTTATCAGGAAAAGTATCTGGAGATGTTATCTGCGAAGGTTGCGATGTTCGGAGAGGTTCGTAAGAGAGACCTCTGTGATCGGCAGCAGGAAGTCCGTCCAATAGTTATCGTTGACTCCAAGGTGAAGACTCCTTTGAATTACTCAGGACTCCGGGTTTATATATAAAGGTGCGTAATCGGACACTACGCACAATTTATTACACAAGAAGACAACAGGGATGAGTGAATGGGGTTAGTAGCAAATAACAGCCTCACGCCGATGGGGGAGCCTCGGGGTCGTCCTCGTGCGTCCCAGTTGTCCGGTGGAGGACCACCGTCACCACAGTTCCTCTAATAGTCCGCACGGTCCTGTACGGCAGCTGCGTGAAGGCTCGGCACGGCTTCGCGCGTGCCGTGAGTGCGTCCACTCACTTTGGCTCTCGGCGACCCACTGCCGAGGGACTGTTCAGGGAAAGTAGGATGTCCTAGCGTACGTATGCGTATGAGGGAGGAGATTCTTCCCTCCGTAATCATTACGCCATTCCCTGCGGGGCTCGAGGAGGACTCCACAGGTGAATGTGGTCTTCGAGACATCTGGTTGAGGACGTGTTACGTTAGGCCAATCGCAGGCCAATTCATACGTTCATGAACCATTTCAGTGGGACGTGGAACGTTAGGCCTATCTGGAGTTCCTCGAACCATCTCGAATAGGTCTGAGGAGAGAATGCCCTCAAGAAGCATGCAATCCACGGTACGCGCCATCCTGTTAACCCTTTCAGACCTGAATTAAAGCCAGTATAATATCCCTTTTTGCATGCTTGAGCTCTTTTGCAATTAGAATTTAAATTGTTATGTTTTATGCATCGTTTTTATATTTCGTATAAATTTACCATATCATACCATATATATTATTCACTTAATTATTCCATAGATAACTGAATATGATAAAACCGACGGGTGGAAGAAGGCTTCCAATGAAATTGAGGTGTGCCTAATTTCGCTCATTGTAGCGTAATATGGGGCGCAAAATCAAGAGAATCCTGAGAAATTACCGTAGACGCAATGAAAATGCAATGTCCATTGGAATGGACGCCAGGTCTGAAAGGGTTAATTCAGGGATGTCCGGGTAAGATATCGGCATATCCTACCACATCGATCAATAACTGCTAACCACAGCTTCATTCTCAACTCATCTCATGAACTCAGCACTAAAATGTTTCATACATTTAAAAACAGAAGATCCAGACGCCAATACGAAGGATGAAACAGTCTTGAATCTAGCATAATTTCGGCACGGTATCCGGCAACACTGAGGGACGGTGCCGGAGGAAGCACTCTAAGCCTAATTGAACGACAGCAAATTTCATGTTATGGCGAAATGGAGCATCGCAAACAGCAAATAGCCACTTTTCGTAATCTACGAGTCAATATCTTTCTTATGGTTGGTCTCTATCCTCCGAAAAAAAAAACCCCAGGAGTGGCTACCCAGGGGGGGTGAGAGAGAGAAGAAAAAAAAACGGAATGAAATTCACATCCTCAACAAACGAGATTCAACGTTCTCCACAACCCCCGGATGATGGAGCTTCAAATTTGCTGGAGCGATTCTGTTGTGAGAGAGGAAGAAGAATGTCAAATTTCGTTGTTGTTGATGCTCTCAGTGGGAAATGCGAGGAGTTTGACTTTTGCGGCAGGAAGGGGTTGAAGAAAGGTAATAGGCGCTTCCAAAGCCTATTGATGTAGTAATAATCCTATGCCCCTTTCAAAATCACTTCCTTATCATATCTCATAGAGTCTAATCTCTCGTTCCAGGACTCGCCTCGCCACGCTTATCGCACCTTTGCGTGGATCTCTCGCTTACCAGGAAAGAAGCAGTTCTCTTTGGTGCAAATTAGGTCCCAAGGTCAAGAAATGAGTGGAACACAGTCGAAGAGCAGGAAGTTCAAAGTTCCCGAGCTCAATGCGCTTCTGCAGAAAGTGAGCGAACCGAACTGGAAGAGAGTGCTGCTGGGGGAAGTGACGAGCGAAAACCCCCGATCGGGCCAGGTGCAGCTCTGGAAGAAGGTGGCCGGTCACGTCCAGTACGTGACTGGCGTCCCGCGGTCGGGCGAGGAAGTGGAGAAGAAGTTCAACGGCATGAAGCGGGCGGCGGAGAAGAAACTGAAGGGAGGACAGAAGCTCCTCGAAGTGGACTCGAAGGTTCTGGAGATTTGCGGAAAGTCCGACGCTGTGGGACGTGAAGATGAAATGAGATCGGGATCTTCCTCAGAACCACCGTCGGATGCTTCCGGTGAGTGCATCTCAGAATCCCACTGGTAACCAGAATACCAGTCCAGGTGCGGATCTGCCATTTCACTGGCCCTTATCTTCTTCGCTGCATCCTAACCATCCAATCTTGAAATAAAGCATGTCTGTCATTTTTATCTCATAGGCCTCTATAAAAATTCCTGACGAATAGACCATGATCTCGACGGTTCGCGCGTCCGCGCCGCGTGGAGATGGGTAGAGAGTATCAAGTGTAGGATGCCAGATGCAGCATTTCACGCGTGCGCCCAGCAACCCTGCCTACGCGGTCGCGAGCAGCCGCTTTCTCCCATTGTCTTCTATGGATCCGTCATCCACGAGGGTTGGAAGGGATGTGGAAGTTTTAGTCGTAGGCTGGCACCCAGACCCGGAAAGCTGCACATGCGCACTGAGTCAAGTGGTCGGGTTGCTATGAGTACTGCGGACAGAGTGGGAAAAAAAAAGTGACAGACCGATCGTAATAACTGCCATTTTCCTATATTACCTATGGGAATGGCGGGTAATAAGGTTCAAAATAATTTTGATGATCTTTATTTGCATTCTCTGGAAGTTCAACACCCAAGAGGTTATAGCGGCTTTAGAAGCCAAGTGTCTCACTCTAGCGGCACACTCTGATTTATTTCAGACTTCTAAAAATTAAAATCGGGCGTATTTAATATATCTCTACAGGTCAGAAAAGAACGGATGGCAGCGAAGGAGACGTTTCCAAACCTTCAACTTCTCGCAAGAGGGAATCGTCCCCCGCGAAGCCCCACGCGTCCAAGGTCCCGCGGAGGAGCCACGAAGCGGAGCGAAATCAAGAAAGTTCCTGGGCGGTCATCGAGTTGCTGGAGGAAATACTCAAGGGGATCAAGGGATTGAGGGAGGATTTCGCGAACGATCGCAACTCGACGTAGAAGAGAAATGGAGCCGACGGACTTTTCTCACTTCCCAATCTGGAGAAGGAAAGAAAATTAATTTGCATTCTTGTCTTTTGGCACAGACCACTGGACCTCCGGTGTTCTGGCTCCTTCACGCGTCGCCAATAAAAAGGTTTTTCGATTCTCGTGAATTTCCTTCGATCGATCAATCATCGAAATTATTTTTACTTTTCCTTTTTGTCTTGCATCCCTCGCTGCTTGCCTTTCACAATTCCGAGAAAAAAATAGAATGATTATATCCCATTCTTTGTCATTTACAGCCCCTCCAAAAATAGAATATACAAGTTGTACCAGAAATCGACCGCATTTATTGGACAGAAAAGAGACCTGAATCGGATGTGAGTCATTTGGCGAGAGACCCCGAAGGACCCAGAAATTCAGAAAACTCAGGGAGCATCGACGACCTCCTCCAAGCTCATCCAGCTGCACCCTTGATCATTAGTTGCCAGCACATTAATCACCATCACGAGGAAAATAATTCGGAATCCCCCGTAACCTACGATGGATCGACGTCATTGACGTCGCACGATGACCAAACGTGATTTCTTTGCTTTGAAAGAAAATGGGGAGAAAATGACGAAAATTTTTCCTTTCCGTTCGGGCTTCCTTAGAAGTATCCATCGTTCAAATGGTGTCAATTTTTTGTCCATTTTATATCTATTTTACGCAAACCATCATCAAGGTAATGTCAACATGTTTGCAGAAATGTCACCTCTGTAATATGTAAACGGTGATACAAAATTAACGTAAATTTTACGTAAAATTGACATTCCCGTTTACATCCCCAACAGCATTTTTACATTCATTTTACGTAAAATTAATGTTAATTTTCCCCTAACATTTATGCGTTTTTATCGAGCCAATTCGTACTTTTGAAGGGAATTGTTACACTATATTTCTCCCATTCCATTCCATAATTTGGAACTCGAGGTTACTTGGCCGAGTACACAAGTACTCATCCTCACCAGCACTCAAGAGTACCAAGACGACACTAAATCCTCCTCCCTCCTCCCATCGATGAAGACAAAGCGGAAGTCTTTGGCGAATCACTAGCTTCTGCCATGACCACACCTTCCCCGCCTTCACAGTCAATTCTCTCCCAAGTCCTATCTACAGGATGAGATCATTGCCTTCTCTCCCGACAACGTCCTCTCCCATCCAGACACCGACAACATCTGGCGTCCTATAGACCCAGAAGAGATCTGCAACACTCTTCAATTTATAGTTAACAAAGCCCCAGGGATCGATAAAGTTTTTTTCTCGTCCCTGAAGCACGGCTCGGCCAAACTAATTGACCGATTATGCGATCTGTACAATGCCAGCCGAGATCTCTCCCATGTCCCACCTTCCTGGAAATCGGCAATCGTAACAATGATTCCGAAACCAGGAAAGGATCCCTCAGACCCATCTTCATTTCGACCTATCAGCCTTTTGAGCTGTATAGGTAAACTCCTGGAGAAGATCTTAACGACAAGGATAGCGTCCTACCTAGAAGACAAACGCCTTCTGAATCCAGCTCAAGCTGGACTGTCTGTGAGGCCGGTAGTGGGGTCCCATGCTGGTCCGTAGACGTAAGGCACAGGTCCGACGTATATTCTTTCTTCCAGCAGGCGGACGGGAAACATGGCTTTTGCTTGGCGTCAAACAGCAAGTGTCGGTTATTTGTTGATACCCAGTCAGCAAGCTGTTCTCCTGCGTTGTCGTTGGTCTGGTAGCCCCACAAACTGAGGTGACTGTTAAAATTTCCCCCAAAGACTGTTGGATGGACGGGTGGCGGAAGCGGTGGTGAAAACCACTGGGTGTTGGGTGGTTTGTACATATTATAAACCACCTGTTTCCCGATGCGCACAGCGATGGCGTAACCTATCTTCTGGTGTAGGGTTGTCTTCGACGATTTCCGCATGCTTGGCCTGGTGTCAGTGGCCAGTCCATGTTTCGGGTGGCATCGGGTGGAAACAAGGTCGAGTCCAGGAATCTGGAGTCGCTGCACGTGTTCTTGTGCCACGTGCGTCGTCTCTTGCAGGAGCAGGACATCGATGTTGTTTTCCTGCATGAGTCTCGCAATGACTTCTCCTTTGGATCGGGGTAGGCCCTCCACATTTACTTGGCATAGTCGAATTGCTGGGCCCACTTGGCGATTCACCTGGCCCTGATGAGGACCTTTTGACCAACGTTTCGCGCGGTCGCTATTGTGACTGAGAGGCCGGGAAACGGCGTTCAGTCTCTGATGTAGGGCATTAGTTCGCGTTTTGAGCAATTACCAGGTAATCGTTTGGTTCGCTTAACGGGGAGGACCACGAGAAGGCTGCCACTATCCCCCCCACAACATCGCTGCCCAACTGTTAACCAACTCAAAAACAACCGCGAGCCAGGCTACCAAAAGGGTGGTGAAAACTGCCCCGAAGGCATCCCTTGCTGCTTGCGTCTCGACGTCAACACTCTCAGAGCCTTTCAAGAAGGCCGAAATTGGAAATTGACGCCGCTCTTTCCGCCATCAAAACTCATAAGGCGGCAGCTCAAGACGGAATTCCTCCAGAATTTTTGAAGAATCTGCTAGGAAGAGCACGCACCTGACTTGCGAAACTATTCAGCAACATCCTTAACTTAGGAAAACTACCGAAAATATGGCGAAGGACGAAGGTCATTGCCCTTCTTAAACCAGGCAAACCAGCTGACGACCCAAAGAGCTATCGGCCAATATCACTCCTCTCAACAGCCTACAAGTTGCTTGAGCGGGCGATGCCAACCCGGCTGGCCCCCATTCTGGAGAGCGCAATCCCTCCGAAGCAGGCTGGTTTCAGGCCCGGTCGCAGTTATTGCGAACGAGTGTTAGCACTTACGTCACACATCGAGGCCGGGTGCCAACACAAGAGAAAGATCGCCGCTGCATTTATAGACCTCACAGCGGCCTGCAATACTGCCTGGAGGGATGGTCTCCTCTTGAAATTGAGCAACCTTGTTAGATGTGCCTCAACGGTGCGCCTCATTAAAGCGATGCTCACCGACCGAAAGTTCCGCGTGCACCTTGGCAATAAAACCAGCTGCCAACGCATGCTACAAAATGGTCTCCCTCAGGGCTTCGTACTAGCACCAGCCTTTTTCAACCTCTACTGCAGTGACATGTCTGCGTCCACGTCCCTCAAATTTGCGAATTCCGACGACCTAGCGCTGGCAACACAAAGTAGCACACTCGAGGAAACGGAAGCCACTCTAAATAACGACCTAAAGAAGATGGAAGATTACTTCCGTCAACGGCGTCTCTGTCCCAACCCGCAAAAGACCGCAGTTACAGCATTCCACCTCCAAAACTCCGCCGCCAACAGAACGCTGGAGACACAGTTCTGCTGTCAAAGCGTCCAGTACGATCCAATCCCCCGATATCTGGGAATGACACTGGATAGCAGCCTGACGTTTCGGCAACACCTAAAGAAACTCAGAAATAAGCTAGCCTCGAGGGTCAACCTAATCCAGCGCCTCGCTAGCACTACATGGGGATCCGACACACGTACCCTCCGAACCGCAACACTCGCTTTGGTCTACTCGACCGCGGAGAACTGCGCTCCTGCGTGGGCCCGCAGCGCTCACACAGACGCAATCGACCCGCAGCTGAACGCTGCTCGTCGGGTGGTAACCGGATGCCTCATGTCGACTCCGCTCCCATGGCTCCGAGTGCTCGCGCACATCCCCCCTGCCGAAATCCGGCGAGACCTGGCGACGGTGCACGAGTACAAGATCATTGCCAACCCGTCCGTCCCGATTCATCGCGACATCGATGAGCCCTTACGAAAATGTATTATAGGATTCCTATATATATTCCTCAAGGAATATATAGGAATCCTAGAGGAATCCTATAGGATCCTATATGCCCCATAGAGTTCAGTTTGGGACCTATGGAGTTCCTTATAGAACCTATAGATGCCTCTATAGAACCTAAAGGGTCCCCCATAAGGCCTATATGTTCCCTATAGGACCCAAAGGGTTCTGTATAGGACCCGTAGGGTTCCCTATAAAACCCATATGGTTCCCGATAGGACCTATAGGACCTATAGGGTTCCCTACAGGGCTTATACGGAACCCTATAGGCCTATAGGGTTCCGTTTGAAGTTCTCCTCTAGGCCACTTCCATCAAGAAAGATACTGGATTGAACATAGCAGAATTGAAAGAAGCCGTGAGAGATCGGAAGACATGGAGAACACTGATCCATAGTGTGGCCGAGAGTCGTTCTCGACTGAACGGATAAGAAGAAGATAGGGCTTATACGGAACCCTATAGGGTTCCGTTTGAAGTTCTCCTCTAGGCCACTAGATGGAAGTATTGGGTTCTCACATTTCTCAAAGGGCACAAAAGTGCCCTCCCCTTACCCAAGGAAACATCTCTCAGAAGAGAGTTTTGTACGTCCCCTAATGTCTCGCCTACGGAGTAACATCGTTAGTTAATTGAAACTGTCAAGGAATAAACAGTACGGGTAGAAGGTCTATATTAGTACCTTAGGGCACTTCTTTATACGGGAATAAGAAAAACTTCCGGTGCATGCTTTGACTGTAGACTGAGATCCTCCGCTAGAGTCCTTTCCCAGGCTTTAGCTTGCTTAGCCGTGCTTTTTTTCGGCCTAAGCCCTTTCCCTACCCCAACTGCCGGGGCCCATTGTCCCGGCAGCGTTCAAATCGTCTTTGTTAAGGCGTCATCCTTCACCTTATTTACAAATTCATCTATCATTATCATACCGAAAGTTTTTGTCTGTTTTTATCGACCGAGCTTTCGAACCTACTCATTATCATCTTTCCTTCTTTCAGATCACTTCCTCCTCACTTCGTCTTCCCACACCTTTTCCTCAATCTCTCTCTTTTCAGGCATTAGCTATGCCTGCGAAGAGGAGACTGCGGAAACGGGGCCCTTCCTCGAACGCTCCCTCAGTCTCTCCAAACCCCTCTCCTCGCTCGAGGCGACAGCCTTCGCCGCTACGGCCCACACCTGCCCCTCCAGCAAAAGACATCTCCTCATGCTCACCACCTTCCAATGCC